ACAACCCAATACCACCTGCCCAGGAGTGGCACCACCCACAGTAGGCTGAGCCCTCTTGTGTTAATCACTTATCAAGAAAATGTACCAAAGACTTGCATACAGGCTAGTTTGGTAGTTGCATTTTCTCAAATGAAGGTCCTTCTTCTCAGACGACTTAAGTCTATGTCAAGTTTGGGAAAACAAACAAACAAACAACTAGTTGGCATACCACCTGAGTGAAACATTGTCAACTTATAATCAAATTAAATCCAGAATCTAATCACTTTATACTAATCTACCGCTACCACTCAGGCCTAAGCTTCATTCTACATTACCATTATTTCTCTAAGTAACTAATGCCTTATAAACCATTCTTAACACAAAGACATGGCAATGTTTAGTTTACATCTAGTCAATATCCACTCCCTAACGTAATTATAAATAAAAGTCAAAGTCCTTAAAATGGCCTGTAAGTCCCTGTATAATCTGTCCTTACCACTTACGACTTGAATTGTATCTCCTATTACTATTCTCCATCACTCTGCTCCAGTCATACTGGCTGCTTTGCTACTCCTTCAAACACCCAACAAACTCCTGTCGAGGCCTGTGTACTTACTTCTTTCTTGACTGCTTGCCCACCATGCTTGCTTGTCAACCATGCTGAATGTTCCTCCATTATGCTATAATCTGAGTTATATATATAATCATACATTAATCATATATCATATTAATATACATTGTGTATCACTGATATATCAATAGAATTATTATTAATTTTAATACATCAACATATTATATAATATAATGTGAAATAATAATTTAATTGTTTATATATAGTATATTAATAATACAATAATATAATAAAATATAATTGAGTTCTTCTAAAATTGGCATGTTGAAAACCAATCCCAACAGTGGTAAGTACTAAGACCTAGAATATCTGACAATTGATAGGTTATAAGGGCAGAGTCCTTATGAATGGAATTCATGCCTTATGTCTTCTAATTTTACTATTTGTGTACTCACCCCCACTAAACTATTAATCTAAATGAGGCTAAAAGTTTTATGCTTAAGAGCTAGTAAATACCAAATAAATCTCCACTGAATGAACAGTAGTTCTTTCTACTGTTCTGTTCCCAACATCTATGAGTCAACATAAGATTGTTTGGCTCTTGCTTGAATTAAACTTTAAACAGGTTAAGTTTATATCTACCAACTATCTGACTTCTGGAAAGTCTTCCAAGAAAGTTAAGATTCAAAGCAAAGAATTGTCCAATCTATTTTTCTGTGTCAATAGAATAAAGTTTCTTTTAGTTTTCTTTTCTACTTCGATAGAGCTAAACACAGAAATACAGATTAAAATAATTTTCTGGATTCTTTTCAAATTTTACCAAATTTTCTCAATTATCTATACATATTATCCCATCTTTCTTTACAAAGGTCTCTAGTTGTTCATATTGACTAATTCACAGCATGAGATCACAAACCACAACAGTGCACAGATAATGCTAGATTAGATAATCTAATCTTTTTAAAGTATGTGTATATGTGTATAGATTTGTACATATGATTACAGTACCCAGAGAGGCCATAACAAGGTGTCACATCCCCTACAACTGAATTACAGGCAGTTGTGAGCTGAAAAACACAGGTTCTAGGAACAGAACTCCATTCCTTTGCAAAAATAGTAAGTACTCTTAACTGCTGAGCCATCTCTCCAGCCAACAGTTATCCAAATTTGAAATCACTACTGCTGGAGTCTCGGTATTCCTTCTCTTCTCTCTCTTCTTTCTTCTCTCTCTCTCTCTCTCTCTCTCTCTCTGTTTTTGGATTTTTGTGGTTTTTTGGTTGTTGTTGTTTTGTTTTGAGACAGGGTTTCTCTGTGTAATGGCTCTAGGCGTTCAGGAACTCCCTTTATAGACCAGACTGGCCTCAAACTCAGAGATCTGCCTGCCTCTGCCTCCCAAGTACTGAGATTAAAGGCATGTGCCACCACCAGCAGCCTCTGTATTCTCTTAAGGAAGCTTAATTTTTATAAACAATTCAAAAGTACTGTCAAGATTTTCTTTATTGGCTATTGTCCTACTTTGCTTTCTGTTGCTGTGGTAGGACACTGGTAAAATAAACTTAAGAAAGAAAAGGGGTTTTGGGCTTACATTTCCAAGCCACAGTACATCATTAAAAGAAGTCAAGGCAGGAATGAAGCAGACTATGCAGGCATGCTGTTTACTGGCTTGCTCGCCTTGCTTTTTATATAACTCAGGACCACCTGCCCAGGGGTGGTACCACACATAGTGGGCTGGGCCCTCCCATAGCAATCATTTAGTCAGGAACATGCTCCCAAAGACTTGACTACAGACCTGCCCACACACCAATCTGATCCAGGCATTTTCTCAGTTGAGATTCTCTCTTTACAGAGGGCTCTAGCTTGTGTCAAGTTGAAAAACTACTATTCAGCACAGTTATATATAAAGCTCTTCACTAGCTACAGAATTTAACCACTCTTAATGACTATTCAAACAAGTATTCTCAATGCTGTCAAGCTTGACTAAATTTAATCCCTGGGACCCTCATGGAAAGAGAATACCAACTCCCAAGAGCTGTCCTTTGATTTCCATGTTTGCCATGCATGCATGCACACATACATACATACATACATAAATAGGATATTGATTATTCCTGGTGTTAGAGAGACTGCTCAGTGGTTAAGAGCACTAGTTGCTCTTTCAAAGGCCCCATGTTTGACTCCCAGCAGCCACATGGCAGCCCACAACTGTCTGTAATTCCAGTCCCGGGAATCAGATGCCCTACTCTGGCCTCTGTGGGCACCAGGCACAAATGTTGTACACAGACACACATGCAGGCAAAACACTCATAAACATTAAAACAAACAACCAAAAACCTAGAGCATCACTGTGATGTGATACTACAAAAAAAAAAAAGGTGTAAGCACATTAACAGAGATAGGCACACACACTGAAATGAGAGACTAAGCCAGATGGAGTGGGTGCCTTCAATTCCAGTAGTCCTTGAGTCAGGTGGATGAATATCTGTGAGTTGGAGGCTAGCCCAGCCTACCTAGTAAGTTCCAGGCAAGCCAGTTTCTCACCCCAAGGTGAGAAACCTTGGGGGTGGGGATAAGGGGATAAGTAAATAAGTAAATTAAAAAAAAACAAATAAATGGAAAATATATAAAAGGAATTATTTCCTGTTATACCTAAATTTTTTTTTAAAAAAATTAAAAAGTAAAATGAATCTTCTGGCTTGATGTGGTGGGAAAAGCCTATAATCTCAACACTCAAGAGAAGCCTGAGGCTGGAGAATAAAGGTTTAGAGGATAGTCTGAGCTACATAATCCTGTCTCAAAAACCAAAACCCAGAAACCCAGACAGGTGTTGGTGGCACTGGCCTTTAATTCCAGTAGAAATGAACAGATTAAGCAGCAATTAAGCAGAGGAGGCAGAGGCAGGAGGATCTCTTGAGTTCCAGGACAACCAGGAATACACAAAGAAAACTTGCTTGGGAAAACAAAAATAAAGCAAAACAAAAAAATAAAACTAAAAACAAACAAAAAGTCTTCAAACTTACATTTTCACTAACTACTGTTACATACGCTGCATTATCATTTACTCTGAAAATGAGGCATATTTTTTTCTCTGTGAGCAGGAAGTGGCACCAGGTAACTTTAGTTACCACAAAACCATTTGTGTTTCAGAATCTGAGATGTTGACTGGGGCCCTTGGGATGGAAAGACAGGTGAATCTCTGAGTTCAAGGCCAGCATGGTCTACAGTGTGAGTTCCAGGAGAGCCTGGCTGTAACACAGAGAAACTGTCTTGGGGGAAAAAAAAAGAATCTGCGATGTGAAATATTTAGAACTCATACAAAAAAAACAAAAATGAGAACTGTTAAGTTCAGTTCCATGGCAATTTTATACTCAATAATTTTATATACAATCATGAAATCAAAATGCAATGATTGAAAGTTAAATTTCTATTAAACAGCTCACTTTAAGTTCCTTTGAAAGCTTACTATTTCATAGCCTGTAGGAAAAGGTCCGTTTCCTAGCTAATCCTGTTAAGTGTGCCTTTTTCTTTTTTTAAAGTTCCACAAGTTATGTTTTGTGTGAAGAACTTCACACAACCAGATCTTGGGAAATTCTGTCTTTCATTCCATAATCATGAAGTGGCATGTCTATTTTTTCTGTTCACTGTTTCAGGTAGATCCTGGATAACTCACTCAATCGTAAGTTAAAGATCCAAGCTAAAGCCAGAACAGCTGGGCTCCTCTCCCAACAGCACCCCAAATACCTCAAGCCCTGAAGGCTTCGCTGATTCTCCTCTGAGTAGAGGAGGCTACAGATTCTTCCAGATTTCTAAATGGAACACGAATACTAACTAAGTAACAGACTATAACGATTTCGAAATGCAGTGCAAAAAAAAAAAAAAAAAGCTAACAGACGCTGAGCAAAACGTACTCTCTCTTCCCCGAAAAAAAAAAAAAAAAAAAAAAAAAAAAAAAAAAAAAACAAAAAAA